CAAATCCTTTAATCTACAGAATTCCACCAGTTAAGATTAAGACCAGCTCAGTTTCATGTTGAAAAGCTCATTTTTCCTTTTACAGACCTCTCTCCTAATTGTCCTCCTAGTATCACCAAGTAATTCACTCTCTATCCTTTAGCCTCTGTTAAACTTGCCTTTCTGAGTTCCCTTTGTACCTCTGCCTGCCCCTTCTTCAATATTTTCTCTAAGCCTTAATGCTGAGGTTCCTCAAAATTCTAACATCTTCCCTGGTATACTCTCTCTGACTGGTCCACCTGCTTCATGGCTTCAACTACCATTTACTATAAAGGTGACAACTACCAAACTACTATAATGATGACACTCAATTGTGTTCCTAGCTCAGCTCTGTTCCTGAGCTGAAAAAGTTGTTCTGTTTCAACTTTTACTCTGTTGGATTATCTCTGTCTAGAATTCCACAAATATCTCAAATCAGCTTTACATTTCCCTACTACAAACCAGTTACTTCTCCTTTACTCTCCACCTTGTTACTAGCACACATTCAAGGCCCTAAGCCAGGAATCTGGTAAACAGCCTGAATGCTTTGTTCCCTCACCAGCCCAAATTCTACCTAATCACCCACCAAAGTCTGCCTTATCAATCCTTGCCTTTCTTTTTACTTCATTCCTATTACCAATGCTGTCATTCACACTTGTACTATCTCTCACTGAACCACTGCAAGCTGCCACTCTCCAAAATCTATCCTCTGCACATCTGCCAGAATGATCCACCTAGAATGTCACCTTACCCTCTCTTCCTCTTGAATAACTTTCCAGCATCTCCAGTGTATAGTCCACTGTTAACAAGTGTGATTTGACTCTGTTTACCTCTTTCTAGGTTTCTTACTGTTCCTCAACTTGCATCTAAATATCCTAGCAACACTAAAATTTTAGTTTCCAGTATAACTGGATTAGTTCTTGATTTCCTCAGTTCATGTTTCAATGTTAACCTCCCACCCCAACTTATTCTCTTTTTTTTTTTTTTTTTTGCAGTTTTTGGCCGGGGCCGGGTTTGAACCCACCACCCCCGGTATATGGGGCTAGCGCCCCACTCCTTGAGCCACGGCACTGCCCCCCAATTTATATTCTTATCTCAGAGGTCACCTTTTCCAGGGATTCTCTTCTGTAATCCCTTTGGGTTAGGATAATTAGATACCTTTAAACACCTTGTATAGTTTTTTCACTACACTCAATAGATTACTTTATAATTATTTGAGAGTATCTTACACCAGAGTGAAACAGATGGTCTCATTCAATTTTGTATGATCAGCAAGCACAGTACACACATACAATGAATTAATGTATTTCTTCAAAGCCCATAATCCACGTGAATAGCAGGATTCATTTATTCATTCAACAAGGTGTTTCCTAGGTTCCAGCTCCATGTCAACTTTTTAGGTTATAAGACTTTTCTCTTTTTCAAAATCTTTTTTTTTTTTTTTTGAGATAGAATCTCACTCTGTTGCCCAGACTAGAATGTAGTAGCATCTTCATAGCTCACTTTGAGCTCATGTTCTTGGACTCAAACATGTTTCCCACCTCAGTTTCACAAGGTAGTGGAACTATAGGCACATACCACCATGCCTGGCTAATTTTCATATATATATGTACATATATATACATATATGTGTATGTACATATATGTATGTACATATATATATATATATTTTGTTTTGTTAGAGACAGAGTCTTACTTTATCACCCTTGGTAGAGTGCCATGACGTCACAGCTCACAGCAACCTCCAACTCCTGGGCTTAGATGATTCTCTTGCCTCAGCCTCCCGAGTATCTGGGACTACAGGCCCACCACAACACCTAGCTATTTTGGTTGCAGTTTGGCTGGGGGTGGGTTCGAACCTGCCACCCTCGGTACATGGGGCCAGCACCCTACCTACTGAGCCACAGGCACCGCCCACCCTATATATTTTTTTAAGAGATAGGGTCTTGCTGTCTTAACTTAGGCTGGTCTTCAACTCCTTGCCTCAAGCAATCCTCCCAACTTGGCCTCCCAAACTGCCAGAATTATCTGCATGAGCCAGAGTCTGGCCTCAAAATCTTTTAACTATTATTACATTGTTTATACAATAACAAGTAATTTTAATCAAACACATCACAGAAAACTTTTAAGGTATGAGGCAAACAGATAAAACCCTACAAGTCTTAAGTTAGCAAAAACTAATAATTTTTTTTCCATAAGGGTGATGTCATCTTGTAAGTAAATAAGCAAAATGGAATCTATGGGGAAAAAAAGGTTAAGAAACAAAGGGAGGATTAAAAAAAAAACTTTCATAAAGAATAGCAGCATATCCAAAATAGGAACACCACACTGCTAGAACATACTTACATAATTTAATTAAAAGCAGAACTCAAATATTAGTCATAAATAGACAAAGATCATAAACAATCTATTTGAACTGGTTTCTGTATTTCTAGTGCAACATACCTGTAGTTTGATTGGGGCACTTTGTCAAGACCTCTGGTGCTCTGAATCCTGGTGTACCTGCCCTAGGGGCAACCTGCTGACGTCTTATAATGAAATAAGATTTCTTTAGTTATGTTAAAGTTGAACTAAAGTCCAAAAAATAATACTTATCAATTTAGTTCACAGAAAACTTTGCCTTGATATCTATACAAAGTTATTATAAAGTAAATCTTATACAATAACAAGTAATTTTAATCAAAAATTAAAAGCATTGTGGCAGGTGCCTGTAGTCCCAGCTACTTAGGAGGCTGAGGCAAGAGAATCACCTAAGCCCAAGAACTGGACATTGCTGTGAGCTGTGACATCACCGTACTCTACTGAGGGCAACAAAGTGAGAATCTGTCTCTAAAAAAAAATTAAAAATAAAAAAAAAATAAAGTAAATCTATCATAATGAACAGCCTAGATTTTGCTTTTTCTGGCTGTTCCCCCTTCTAGTTCTTGGCTTACTCCAAGAGACGTTTTTCAGGCAACTTCATTTGTTAGAGGTAATTACTTATTCACATATATATATTTGAGTTAATCAGGAAAGACTTGATGAAAACTAAGTCTTTTTGTTTTGAGACAGAGTCTCAGTTTGTTCCCCTCAGCAGAGTGATGTTGCATCATAGCTCACAGCACCCTCAATCTCTTGGGCTCAAGCAATTCTCTTGCCTCAGCCTCCCAAGTAGGTGGGACTACAGGTGCTTGCCACAACACCCAGCTATTTTTTTTTTTTTTTTAAGAGACAAGGTCTCGCCTGGTTCAGGCTGGTCTCAAACCTGTGAGCTCAGGCAATCCACCCTTCTCAGCCTCCCAGAGTGCTAGGATTACAGGAAAGCTAAGTCTTAAAAGAAAGGAAGGAATTTATGAGCCAAAGATTTGAAGATGGGAGTAAGAGAAGAGCTCTGCTACTTCATTCTGATTATTCCACATAGGCAGGAATAAAAGAAAACAGAAAGATTATATCAGCAAGCAAAATGTTTAATTCTAAGCCTCTAAAAAGCCTATTCTCCCCACCACTGCACCAATTACTTGTATTAAAAGCAAACATATTTTCCAAAGGGCATGTCCGTGTCAAATGAGCAATATGTGACAATAGTTATCTTTTGCTCAAGTACTGCTCTTATCAACCTTGTGCCCTTTCACTCACTTAATCAATCATCCAGCAAAATCAATGCAATTCCTAACCTTGGCTGGCAGCATGCTAGTGATTTTATAAAACCATCAAAAATATTACCTTGAAAGGCAAATACTGCAAACTTTATCTGTTGCATAGCAGTCACAGGGCAGGCTAGTTGGGCAAGAACTGGCAGATTTCCTCGTCACACCACTATTCATAGCTCTTGTAGAAATAGCCTTCTTTTTTGTTGCTAACTTTCTAGATAGTACATCCACAGTCTTAGACTGCTTCATAAGCTGTAAAAGAAAAGTCAAATTTTCTATTTTCATGACACTTAACATAATGTTCTCAAATATTAGCATGGCAAAACGCATAACTTTAAAAGGCACTGAATGTGCTACTGAATTGTAAATGAACAGTTGTCTGTTACAATGTTTAGATCTTTCTGAGTTTACCTATAACCGTATACATGTATTAAAATCTAATTAGTCCTAGTTTAGCAAATATTTGACTTATTATACTTTATTAGAACTTTTCTTAATGTATTACAAAAAGTATAAAACAGTAACGTTCTAGTGTCTAACTCCATTTCAGAACTGTAAACTGCACAATTACATTGGCTAAAGTCAGAGTTTTAATGTACTGGCTCATGCTGTCCAGCTGCTGCAAGATGTAAGTTAATTTAAAACCATCTAACATTGACTGGCAACAATTTCATTAACTTTACCAACATCTTTATGCTATCAACTATATGTCAGAACTGTATTACAATTTGGGAGCCCACATTCCAGCAATGATAGAAAAGGCCTTACTATTCTAAAATGTTCCTCTAAGAAAACAGCTACAATAGTCAGCTAACCAAAAAATGATGAAAATTTTCACCAGAAAAGTTCAGAGAAAAGTTGAAGAAAACCAAAGTTCTGATTAAATGCTCAAAGCAATAATACCTTTGCCAAAGGCAAACCCTACTTTTAAAAAACTGCTGATAGTACATGCTAATCTAGTGATCACCTAGATTCCCGAATGTATGGCTGACTGACCATTGCACTATTAAGCTACATTACTTACTTTCACTGCAGGGCTCTCATGTGAAATGGAGCTGTGTATATTGAAATTTCTTTCTCCAAAAACAGAGCGCTGGGCAGAAAGGCCTACAGATCCCTCCTACAATACCAACAAAAACAAGGAAAATAAGGATTATATCTGTAACACTTTCTGCCAGCTGTACTCTGCCACCACTTTTAAAGAGTTAAGTGACATGAAATATGCTGTATCCAAGTCATTCTCAGGCACTGAAACACTTCTGTGAAAGGAGAAAATAGTCTAGACAGAACTCAACACCCATACACAATGTTATCACAGTCCACAAACAGATATAACTAAAAAATTCAAAACCACCTGCATGGATGCTACATTTTGCTGTGCAGCTAAAATGGAGATAGACACTTCAGAATTTTTCTCCTATAATTAGTGCTTTCTTTCAAAAACGATAATTATTCTGAACTTTTTAACATGCAGGGAAAATGATTTGCTATTTTTGTCATATAATTTTTAATACATAATGGCAAAATATTATAAATTGGCAAAAATAAATTTTAGTTGTGAAATGAGCAAAATGCTTCAGTGTAAATTTTATTATAAAATCTAAACAATTGAACACCTATAACAAATGTAAAAAGAAGTTTTTTAAATTAGAAGTACTATCCTAGTATTATATCTCCCTCTATTGGCTGAAGGAGTACATTTCTAAAACAGTGGCAATGCTTAAGAAATAAAAGAGGTAGAACCTTTCCGTCTTTTCCTTGTTTAATCTGAATTTGTGCGTTTGTGTAGGGTCTTTTAACACAAGTTTTTGTGGTAGACTGTTGATCCGGCTCCTTAGGTGCTGGGTCATTCAAAGAAATCTTGTTTCCTGTGATTGTGTGGGATTTGTTTTGTGAACAACTTTCCTGCTGAGTTTCAGACTGGACAAATTTGAGAAGCTCTATTTTTGTATCATGGGTTCCTTGGGCCAAACCAAAGTCTACCAAGGCGTATCTAAAAAACAAAATTAAGCATTTTTACTCCTTTTAATGAGTAAAGCTTAGTAACATCATAACATCAAACCATCCTCATATAAAAATGCTAATTCTTTTGGGAATCAATTAAGAATTTATAACATTCCTGAAAAAAGGTAAGAAAAATAAGCTTTCCAGACAAAGTAAGAATTTAATAGCTCACTAGATTGAAAATTAAGAAAGATACCCCAGGCTGAAATGTTTTTTCTTCACTTTGATTTTATCAAAAATAATTTGACTGGACTAGATTAAAAGTCCTAATCAGAGACCCTGAAATAAAAATTTAGCTGCTTTTTCCTTTAAAAAAAAAAAAAAGAAAGAAAGATACATCCAACAATCAGTCTTTTCTCTCTTTTCCAACAACCTGTGCTGATAAAGCTAAAGAGCAGTACATGATATAAGCACAATTCTTTATTCTCTAATGGTGGCAAAGATAGCATCATAGCAGATAACTTCTAATTAAGCAAGGTAAAAAAATAAAATTCTGGTTTTAAAATTCAACTTAGAGAAAAGAACTTTAGAGAAAAGTCAGGAGCCTAAAAGCCCAAAAGATAAATTATAGTTTTTGCAGTGGCTCACGCCTATAATCCTAACACTCTGGGAGGCTGAGGCAAGTGGATTGCCTGGGCTCCCAGTTTTAAGACCAGCCTGAGCCCAGAGCAAGACCCTGTCTCTAAAAATAGCCAGGTGTTGTGGCTGGTGCCTGTAGTCCTAGCTACTTGGGAGGCTAAGGCAAGAGAATTACTTGAGCCCTAGAGTTTGAGGTTGCTATCATGGTGTGAGATATCACACCATGGCACCCTACCAAGGATGACAAAGTGAGACTCTGTCTCCAAAAAAAGGAACTTGTAGTTTTATTCTTATCACACTTAATATGATCCATTCTATAAACAGCATTATTTAAGTTCTTTTCAGCTTATAATGACTCTATGTACCTAATCACCATTAAATACATAGATACATATAAATACAACTTTAGTGTTGAAACAGGAAATTGACTATCATGTGATTCAATCTCTCATTTACTAGAAAAGAAAAATGAAGCCCAGAGATAAGAGACGTGTTAGGTTAGAAAAGATTTCTAAGTCCTCTTTAGCTAAGCCCCACTTCCACCAAACCATGGTACATCTAATGATGTACACTATTTTCCTAATACAAGGATATCTTCTTTTTCACTTCATTTCCCGTCTCAATTACAATGAAAACTTGAAACAGAAATAATCTGTGCATGGCCATGGCAGTATGAACTGTGTCTAAGAGATGTACATTGGAGGACACAAAGTACAAGATAAATAGAATAACATCTAGAGGTATGCTAAATAATAAATAAATAAAATTATACTGTACATGACAAGCCAAGTGAGTAAATTTCAGCTGCTTTTGCTAGAAAAACAATAAAAAATGGGTAACTGAGATGATGAATATGTTTATTGCTTCACTATGGTAACCTTTTATTAGGTACCCACAATATCACATTGAATACCTGAAATATAGACAATAAAAATATTTTATTTAAAAAAAAAAAATAGAGATGGCCGGGCATGGTGGTTCATGCTGGTAATCCTAGCACTCTGGGACACCAAGGTGGGAGGATCACTTGATCTCAGAAATTCAAGACCAGCCTGAGCAAGAGTGAGACTGTGTTTCTACAAAATATAGAAAAATCAGTCAGGTATGTTGGTGGGGACCTAAAGTTCCAGACACCTGGGAGGCTGAGGCAGGAGGATCACTCAAGCCCAGGCGTGAGGTTGCAGTAAGCTATGATGAAACCATTGTACTCCATCTTGGGCAACAAAGGGAGACGCTGTCTCCAAAAAATACATACATAAAAAAGGGAGAGATAGACCCCTAGCACAAATTCATTCAAGTAAATACTTCCTAGTAACTCTTCATACTTACTTTTTTAAACGCCTGTTATATAAAAAATTGCTGGGCTTAACATCACGGTGAACAATACCAAACTGATGAATGCGTTTCAAAGCTCTGAACAGATTAAACATATATTCCCGTACTTCTTGAAAGGAAAGAGAATTCAAAATGTCCTAAAATAAAGTTATGGTTGAAATGAGTTATGGATGAAAATTGTTTTCAATTAAATGTTTAGAAAGAAATATTAAAACCTACCAAAAAGGACTCATGCTCCAGATATGGCATAGCAATAACCACATGATCATTTTTCCTAAAACAGTATTTAACTCCCATGACATTGTCTTGCCCCCTAGTGGAAAAAAGCACAATGAACTGCAGAGGAAAGGTCAAATGAACTGAGACTTTATGCCTCGTTTTTTAGCAACATATACATATTTGCTAGAAAACTGACTTCTAAATCATCATCATATAAGACAGTATAAACATTTAAGTGACCTATATTAAAGTTTTCTTTTAAAACAAAAATACTACCAGTTATAAGTTTACTATAATTCAAACATGAGATAATTATAGTTTTAACCGGGGAAGCAGCAGAATGAGAAGTAAAGGAAAAGAACAAATTGGCATAGTAGCAGATATGAAGGTAATAGTAATACATTTTAAAAAATAATTTGAAGTCATGGAACTAACATCTGGTTTATGTTATATACATATACATTTTATGTTTTAATGATCATTCTGGCTGCTGTGTCAAGATGGAGTTAAAGGAGTAAACAAAGAAGCAGGCTACAGGAGTAGTCTAGGCTTGGGCTGAGGTGATGGTAGAGAAAGCAGAAAGAGATGCAGGAGTTCTTTAGATATATTTTGGAGGCAATAAGGACTTGGATATGGTTTAGAAGAGAAATGGAGAAACTAGGTTTCTGGCATGATTCATCTGGTGGATGGATGTTGGTGACATTTATGGAGGTGGATAAATAAGAATATTTGTTCTGATGGGTGTTTTTGGCAGGGAAAATGGGTTAAAATTTAGTTTTTGCCATATTAAGTTTGAGATATCAATCAGGCACCCAACTGGAAATGTCAAATAGGTATAAATCTGCAGTTAAGATAAAAGGTCTGAAGTTAGATATTACTTTCAGGAATTGTTACTATCAGCCATGTGGAAATATAGGGTACTAAGGAAGAATACAGAGAAAGAATGCCAAAGATCGAGCACTGAAGAACTCCAATATTTAGGGATCAGCTACAAGAGGATGAACTGACAAAGATACTAAAAATGAAAGGCCAAATGAGGAAGAAAACTAGGAGGGTGCAGTAGTACCAAAGCCAAAGGACGATGGTTCAAATCTATTATGTTAAATGATGCCTACAGTTAGGGCTGACTTTAACCAAAGTACCTTCGGTTTAGCATGGAGGAGAGTTGAAGTGTGCAGGTAGTAGAAGAGGGGTGTGGAAGTGAAAACAGTATGTGTAGATAATTCTTGAGAAATCTGACTATGAAGGAGAAGGCAGAAATGATGGAGCAGCTGGAACAGGGAGGGAAGTTCAGGAGGAGTAAGATACTAGATCATGGAGGGTAAGGAAGGGAGAGCAGAGAGACAGAGAAGGAGGAGGGTTAGGGGAAAGGAAGAGCGGAGAGGGAAGGAGGGAAGGGGTGGGGTCTGGGTGTGTGACGCACCTTTTGAGGCAAGACACAATTGTTAAGAGGGACTTTACCTGACAAATGCAATCAGTGTAACCTGGTTTCTTATACCCTCAATGAATCCCCAACAATTAAAAAAAAAAAAAATACTAGATCATGCCCATGTATTGACAGTAATGACCTAGCTCAGAGAAACCAAGGAGAAAGATACACCATGATTCTGTTGTTCTAAATGTAAGATGAGAGGGCTAAGGGCGCCAGCCACATACACCTGAGCTGGTGGGTTCAAATCCAGCCCAGGGGGCGGTGCCTGTAGCTCAAAAGGGTAGGGCGCTGGCCCCATATGCCGGAGGTGGTGGGTTCAAACCCAGCCCCAGCCAAAAAAAAAAAAAAAAAAATCCAGCCTAGGCCCACCAAACAACAATGACGACTGCAACCAAAAAATAGCCAAGCATTGTGGCAGGCGCCTGCTGTCCCAGCTACCTGGGAGGTGGAGGCAGGAAAATTGCTTGAGCCCATGAGCTGAAGGTTGCTGTGAGCTGTGATGCCATAGCACTTTACCCAGGGCGACAACTTGAGGTTCTGTCTCAAAAAAATAAATAAATAAAATAAAAAATAAATGTAAGGTGAGATTGTCAATAACTAGGGAGATGTGAAATGTGAATGCCCTACATTAAAGAGAAAAACATTATAGGGCAGTGCCTATAGCTCAGTGAGTAGGGCACTGGCCCCATATACCAAGGATGGCAGGTTCAAACCTGGCCCTGGCCAAATTCCAAAAAAAAAATAGCCGGGCATTGTGGCAGGTGCCTGTAGTCCCAGCTACTCGGGAAGCTGAGGCAAGAGAACTGCCTAAGTCCAATGGAGTTGGAGGCTGCTGTGAGCTGCACTACAGCACTCTACCGAGGGCGATGGAATAAGACTATCTCTACAAAAACAAACAAACAAAAAAATTATAAACTACAAAAGCCAAGGCTTATGATTTGGCAGAAAGGTTCCAAAAAGTAGCAAAAGAATGAGAAGTCAAGCTGAGCCTCAAGGGAAATCCACTCTAAAAGAATTACTATAAATTTAAATAACTACTGCAAGGTTAGAGAAAAGTACTAGCAAATTGCAAACACTTGACTGAAAAATGTTATGTGATTCATGTACGAGCTCATCATCCCTATTAAGCATCTACTTTAAAATCTTATAAATTATACACAGCCGTTCACTATTAAATTGCCTACCCCGCCACTGTTAGGCACTGAAGTTCAGCTGCAATTCTTATAGGATGACTGGTTGGAATTAAGTGTTTTAGAGCAATTTTCTCTTCAGGTCCTACTTGTAACTGTGCTGTAGCCAAATAAACAGAGCTGAAAGTGCCTGTAAAACAATTTATTAGATTTTTCAGCACTCAGTTTTTAAAAATATTACTGGAACAATGCTAAAAGATTATAAATTATTTTAGTGACATAATACATTAAAATAGGACTGTTCATTTTACTATATATTATTTATTCTTTATTTCCACAAAAGAAGAAAAGCTATTATCTTATTTAGTCATATAACCATGGTCTTAATATTTAAAGAAATAATATATTTTTCAATAATAGTAATGAAAACCAAGATTATAGAAGGAAAATAAAACTTGTAAAAATAATAAATTATATCCCAAAGTACCTTCTCCAATTTTGTCCTTAATCTTAAACAGATTACCAAGCTGTGGTACAGCTTCATAAAGCTTCTCAATATCTTTTTTAATGCCTATTAGGAAAATAAGAATGTACAGTTATTATCAATGAGAGTATATTTTATAGCTTCATAAATTAAAAACCTCAATGAAATAAATTCTAACACATAAGTAATAATTACAAATAAAAGTTTTAATATAACTTAAAATGATAATAATTAAAACTCCATCAAGTTGCTATAATTCACATATACCTCTTGAACAGACAAAAAAAGGACAAAAAAAACGAGTCCCAGAATTGCACACAGCAAATTTCTACCTCACTGGAATTACACACTAACAGATACACTGTTACTGCATACACTACAACACAAAGAAGCTAAGCTTTAAAGTAACTAAATATTTTGTGATCACTAGATGGCATGACAAGGATACAATGACCTTGAAAACTATTTCCTTCCCACAAAGATACAAAATCAGGCAGACTTAGAAAAGTCTTATATAGTGAATATTCATGGTTTAGTCTCAGCAAGGAAGCCTACTAAAGCTCTCAGGCATGTTAAAAAATATTTTTAAAAATTGGTCCCAGTCGCTAGTATCTTCTATCCTTGATAGCAGATAAACTGCTACTTTCAAATAAATATAAGCTCTTTATGAAAACATGGTTAAAATAACAGGAGGCAATAACACAAAATCCAATATACTACTAGATACAAAAGAGTACTACGTAAAAGCCTTCACATTTTATTACAATATCTAGGCCAAGCATCAGCTACTTTAAATTATAATAATATTGTGCACAGAGTAACAGTTTAAGACATTTTCAAAGCACCTTCATAATATACTAACTTTTCAGACTGTCACAACAGCGCTGTGATAATGGCAGAACAGGAATTATTATCTTGATTTTTCAGGGAAGTTAAGTAATTTGCCTAATTTCACAGTGATATTACTGATGTCTACAGAACTCATTCATTTAACAAACACTTTATAAAAAGCTCAGCAGTGGGCATATTAAAAAAATGAATAAATGTGGTACAGCCACTGGGAGCTTAAGTCTACTGGAGGAGACAGATGTTATCACTCTTATACAAGGTGATGATTATAATAATGGAATGCATAATATTGGGAGGGTGATAAGCACTTCAGAAGGTGCTGGGAAGCCTTCAGGGGACAGCTAAGCTATGTTCTGAAGCATTCATTCACCATGTAGCAAAAATGGAAAAAGACATTTAGGAAGGAAATGTATGTAAACACATGGAAAAGGAAAAAGGCATGGCTGATGGAGGGGGGCAGAGAGATATAAAATGTGGCTGAGGAGGAGGAAAGTAGAGAATGCAAATAAAAGCCATGGGAAGTTTTTAAGCTGAAAAAATGACAAGTGAAGAATGGACTTAAACAGCAAGAGAAACATAAGCTGAAGACCAAGTAAGAGGCCAGGAAGATCTACGCCAGGGTTCTTCCTACTCTATCAACCCATCTAAGGAAATGGGAAGAACTTACTACTTAAACTGGGCTGGAGTACAGAAGCATATGGCATAATCATAGCTCACTGCAATCGCAAAGTCTTAGGCTCAAGCAATCCTCCTGGTTCACTCTCCTGAATAGGTAAGACTATAGGCGCCTGCTACCATGCCTAGCTAAAAATTTTCTGTAGAAATGGGTGTTTTACTATGTTGCCCAGTCTAGTAACTCCTGGTCTCAAGAGATTCTCCAGCCTGGGTCTCCTAAAGCTAGGATTATAGGTGCGAGCTACCATACCAGGTCTTCATGGATTTTAATGCAAGAGGCAATGTAACACAGCAATTATGTGTACCAGTCTGGAAATTGGAAGGGTGGGAAGTTAGAATACCGGCTCCACTATTCAAAAGCCAGTATGACTTTACTTCTGCATATAGCTTATCTCTGTGAATCTTAGTTTTCTCTATCTATAGAATAGGAACAATAACAGTACCCACATCATTTAGATAGTGTGCAGATTAAGTGAAATAATACCTATAAGTAAAGCTTTCAACACAATGCTGGGTACACAGTAAATAGACAAATGACTATGGTAACTCTTATGTTATAGTTACTGTTATTAACACTATTTCTTAAGGGCTTTTAGTCCCTTTTAGTCTCATTAGTCCCTCACTTGAAATGTTCTTCCCTTGTAACTTCATGAACTTGCTTAATTGTCATAGTTTACTTAAATTGGCATTCCTCCTATTACCCTGTTTATTGTCTTCAGAGTACTTATCCACTATAAAATTATCCTCCTTAATTTTTCACTGTCTGCCCCTTCTGTTATAATATAAGCTCCATCAAGTCAGGTCCTCTGTACAATTCACCACAATATACTCAGCTCCTAGTTAGAACAGTGCCTGGAACATTGGTTGAATAAACAATTATTATCATAATGGACATCCAGATATAGCTGGAGGGGGGAAAAAAGTCACAACAAATGAAGCCAAAGACAGCATCAGCAGCATGAGCTACCTCACTATCAGCTATGACACTACTTCACTCTGGAAGCCAAATCCAAGGCCTGGGGAAAAAGCTGGCTTTCTAGCAGTCTAGAGTTGCCATAGTCCATTAAAATCTTTCCTAATGAGTGTCAGTTCAAAACAGCTTCAAATTCCACAATGTCACAGGAAAGGCACCACCAACAGGCACTAATTTAATGTTACATTTCTTTGAGTCTAAGACACAGTTTTATCAACTCTGGAATTGGGATCTACCTTACAATTGTCAGCTAGCATCAGAACTTACAAAATAGGTGTTAGTGACTTGAAGAAGCACTTCTTTAGCCCTTGAGAGAAAAGCATTGTCACCGTGTAATTGAGAGCACTTCTAAAAGTAACATAAAATAATGGTGCACCTTGTAATTAATGGTGTTTAGATAATGATGAAATATTTTGATGTTGGTAGTGTTTTATTACTAATTGCATTCCAGTGTTTGTATGCATGTTTTGTTTTTGTGTGTGATTAATAATACTGAAGACTCTGTAGTAGGATTAAATAACTGTACTGCCCACTACTTTCATGTAGCTACTAAAATTTAAAGTAATTGGCTGGGTACAGTGGATCTCACCTGTAATCCTAGCACTCCAAGTGGTCAAGGTAGGAGCTTAAGCTCAGGAGTTAGAGACCAGCTTGAGTAAGAGTGAGACCCCTGTTGAAAAAGGGGCTAAAAATTTTGAAAGAACTTTCAATTTCAACTTCAAAGTTGAAAAATTAGCCAGGCGTCATGGCAGGGGGCACTGTGTAGTCCCAGCTACTTCGAAGGCAGAGGCAGGAAGATCACTCGAACCCAGGAGTTTGAGGTTGCTGTGAGCAAGGTGTGACTTCACGGAACTCTAGCATGGGCAACACAGTGTGACTTTGTCTCAAAAAGAAAAATAATTTTTTTTAAATTAATTAAAGCTAAAATTATTTTCCTAAGTTGCACTAGCCACAGGTGAGAGTACAGAAACATTTCCATTGTCACAGAAAGTTTCATCGGATGGCGCTGAAAGAGAGGACCCTGGAATTTAAAGATCTGGATTCAAATCTTGTCATGAACCATCAGTTCCTTAACTTGTAAAACAAAGGGGTTGAATCAGACAAACTTTACATTCCAATTATAACAGTCTATGGTTTTCCTATGAGCTCTGTACTTTGGACTTTCACTTTGCATAAGCATGAGCTGCTAAGTAGTAGTAGAGATACTGGCTAACTGCCCCCTCAGAAATTAACAGTAAATGTGGGAATGCATTCTAAAAGCAGACTATGAACGTTTTAACTCAATAACTGGGAAAATGACATAAAGGTTATGTTGACCAGTTTGATGAGAGTATTTCAAAATGTATATGAAAACAGCACACTGTACCCATGATTGCATTAATGTACACAGTTATGCTATAAGAAATAAAATTTTTTAAAAATGTGGGAATGCACAAGCTATGTGAATAGCTATGTAAGCTTAATGTGCTTCCACATGACTAGTTGATTCTTATATACTTACCCATATTTATTTATTTTATTTTTTACTTATTTATTATTTATGAGACACTATGTTGCCCTCAGTAGAGTGCTCTGGCATCATAGCTCACAGCAACCTTTGGGCTTAAGCAATTCTCTTGCCTCCGCCTCCCAAGTAGCTGGGACTACAGGCACTCACCATAACACCCAGCTATTTTGTTGTTGTTGTTGCAGTTGTCACCATTATTTTTAGCTGGCCCAGGCTGGGTTAGACTCCGCCAGCCTCAGTGTATGTGGCTGGCACCCTACCCAGTGAGCTATAGGTGCTGCCAACTTACTCATATTTAAAAAACTCAAAATATGTTTAAAGTTTACTGTCAATACAGAACAACTTTGATATTTTTAAACAACAGCAAAATTTCCTAGGACTGAAGTGAATGTGATATCCTCAAATTCTGAAGTGGGAAACGGGAGAAAGCGTAAAAAAGCATTTAGTTCAAAAGTTGGACAACAGTGTTAAAGACAGGGACAAATACATACTTTGAGTATTAGAGTGAAGACCCTAAAAAGTCCATGACTTGCTAAAAAATAATTTAAATGCCCATATTTTGTACATCCAAGTAGGCTTTAATATAGCAATAGCCTCCTTAACTACGCTCCCTGCTTCTGTACTTGGTGAATGTTGACGTAATGATTTATTCCTAGCACCTAGGAAAACGCACTTAATAGATGTTTAGTAAGTGTTCATCATATAAACGAAAGGTTTTTAATATCTTACTATGTAGCAGAACTGACACTCCAGGAATATAGTCATGCTTATTCTAGAGTTATATATACTGTCTGGTTTACAGTTCCTACAACTACAGAAGCATACAATTAACCAAACGAGTACACTCTTGAGAGTGAAAGGGGGCACCAATAAATATATTGAGACAACAGGTGTAAAGGAGATCTGTCCTAGTCAAACAAAAATGGTACCTATAACCCATCTTTGAAGCAAGGGCCAAGGGCGTCCATTTAACACATGCAAACCTTCCTGTAGAGATCAATCATATGGAGGAGACAGTCAGTATAAAACTAGTTTATATTCCATTCTTTTGCTGAACAATCTTTCTCACTAAACTTTACATATAGTACATACTTTAGAAAAAAAAAAAGCTCAGTGAAACAATGAAAGCATAAACACTTGACCAATGTTATGTCATACACATAGTTTGTGCACTGCAGTTTTCTTTTTTTTCTGACAGAGCCTCACCATGTCACCCTCAGCAGAATGCCATGGCATCACAGCTCACAGCAACCTCAAACTCTTGAGCTTAAGCGATTCTCTTGCCTCAGCCTTCCAAGCAGTTGGGATTACAGGCACCCACCACAATGCCCAGCTATTTTTTGGTTGCAGTTGTCATTGTTGTTTAGCTGGCCCAAGAGGGGCTTGAACCCACCACCTTCAGTGTATGTGGCTGGCGCCCTACTCACTGAGCTACGGGTGCCGAGCCTGCAGTATTTTTCTTAATGGGGAAAAATAGAAAATGATCTAAAGGTTCAAAAATAAAAAGTAATTAAATTATAGCACATTATATAATGGAACTTAAATGAAGTTGGAGAAAATTTAAGTACATGAGAAATATTCAAGATATATATTAAGCAAAAAAATGGAGATTAGAAATAAATGAAGACCCCCCAATTTAGTTTTTTTAAAAATGTCCCTAACTACACATACCTAACAAAATGTCATCAATGGCAATATTTGAATGATGAGATAATATTTTATTTTGGCTTTCTATACTTTCTAAACTTTCTTCAATAAGCACGTATAATTTTTATTAGAAAAATGTTGTAAAAATCTGACAAATAATTCAAAACAAAAGGCCAGACTACTCATCTATTACACTAAGAATTTTACTTTATATTCTAACATTAAATCATTCATTCAAATATTTTCAAGCGCCTACACATATTATGTGCTGGATACTATTAGGTTCTCGGAATGCCACGATATATCAAAAGCAACTTCAACAAGGAGTAAAGCTGATGAGGTCCAGGCACGTCACTGTCTCATGATCTAATTTGATTTTTCCAATTAGATCAAAAGAGAGCTTATGTGGCCTGGAACTCATCAGCTTTTCTCCTAAGTAACGTTTTTTGGTTTTTTTTTTATAAGCATAGCTTTTATTAAGGGTCATATAAAAAAAGAACTATGAGTAAAGTTACAGCATGTTTTATAAATTATTACAGATGTTATGTTACCCGATGTTCTGTTACAGAGAGGCTATAATACTTTTGAAATTTGGAATAAAATTCACTCCACTCTTTATTTCTTAGCAGATTTTCAGAAAATTAGAATAGCAGCATTTTCCTAAACATAATGCTAGAACCAAGTCAGAGTCATCCATTCACGCTCCTCTTAAGACACAACATAAGTCAGAAACTAGGAGGTACTGCCTTCAAGGAGCTTATAGTAGAAACTGAAGAGTCAAAATACACACTGCTAAACAATAACACAATGACTGTTATTAGATTATGTGTCCAATGACCGGTAAGGAAAAGCCAAGCTGTGAAAACCAGGTAATTGTAAGAAAACTGGAAGGAAGGAGGGACAGCATCCATGTAACTGGATGAAAGTGGCATTTCAAGATTGTTCCATTCTAGGGTGGTGCCTGTGGCTCAGTGAGTAGGGCACCATCTCTATATACCGACAGTGGAGGCTTCAAACCTGTCCCCAGCCAAACTACAACAAAAAAATAGCCGGGCCTTTCGGTGGGTACCTGTAGTTCCAGCTACTCAGGAGGCTGAGAGAAAAGAATCGCTAAAGCCCAAGAGCTGGAGGTTGCTGTGAGCTGTGATGCCACAGCACTCTACCGAGGGTGACAAAGTAAGACTCTGTCTCTAAAAAAAAAAAAAAAGATTGTTCTATTCTAGCTGTTTTAAGGAAGAGTAAATTAAAAAAAAAATGATTAGTCTAATAGCAGTGTACAGATGAACTAGAAGATGGAAAAGAAGTGAAAGCAGATGGTTTAGGTAAGAAATTGCTGTAATTCAGGAACAAAGTGTAAGGAAATGAATTACTGTGGTGGAAAATGGGAATGGAAAGAAGATGCAATGCCATAGATTTTAAAAAGAAGATACGGCTGAGTGACTGGATATGGGGAGCAAATAAAAATTCACTTAAGACAAAGATAGAAAAGAAGATTTAGCTACCTTCTAGGGAAAAAAAATACAGTCAACTGTAACTATTCTATTTAACAAACATGTACAAGCATGTGTACTGAGGGCCTCCTAAGTCCCAGGTCCTGCACAAAAGCAGAACTATGACACACATATTAGCCTACAAGATGAGACACTGCTTGACCCTCTCCTCCCCTCAAACAACCCCTCATGAAGTATACTGAGATATGGTGCTTTTTTAATTGCTACAAACATTTCATTCCTTTTTTGTCAGTGTATTCTGCTTTTGAATACATAAGTAAAGACTTCTCCAAGGTCATCTTCTAAATCCAAGTACAATATGGTAAGTAAAGATAAGAACATAGGTCTTAAGACAAATTCTAGTGTGGGCATCATACTTCTGTGTTCTTAAGTCATCAACATTTTGGCCTTAGCAACTTCACCTGTGCAACAATAAAGTTGCCCCCTAAATCGATCCTACATCTAAGATCTACATGTAGATGATTCCATCCTACACCTAAGATCTTATGAAGCTTTTTCTATGTCAACCTACAACTCACTTTAAACATTCAGTTATTTTTTTAAAGGAATTGAAAACACATGAGTGTTGCTTGTACATCTTTGAAACTGTACGTCTTTGGAATCAAACACATACCTGAAAGTTTAAAATTCGGCTCGTATTTTTTAACAGAGCCATCAGCCTGAAACCGGTCACGCGGGGGAGAAAAAGCCATTGGCTCATCCATCTGCACCCCCAAAGACGCCTCCATCACCAAACAACTGAGATGCAAAAGGGGTCACGTCCACGGCGGGGGTTGGGGGGGCAAGGCAGCTGTGAAAATTATGCTAGAGAAGTTTAGGTCATTTACTAAACCAAACACTAAAAAATGCCACTACTCTCAAAGGTGCAAACATTTTAAAATGCACCATGTGTCTAAACGCCCAAAAGAAGGAAAACTATGGTCATTTCTAAGGAATTTCATTTGCTTTGCTTTCACCTTCCAGAAACACTGGCGGGGCGGGTAGGAAAAGGGGCTGGGGGGCTGTCGCCGCAGCGAGCCACTAGCCTGCCGGTCAGCATAGGGAAGGGACAGTTTGACCCGAGGCAAAGGATTAAGGGAGGAAATCGGGCAACTTCGTGGAGCCCCGCGCAACTTAGTGGAGCACTGGTACGACACTGGCTACGAGCATCGGGCGGAAGGGAGGAGGGAATGTATGGGAATCCTCCCCAGAGAGCGGGCCGCGAGCTCGGTTAGGAAGGACCTTCCCCCTCAGACCCAGTCCCAGACCTAGACCAAGACCGAATGCTTAGCGCGCAGGCGCGAGACTTTCCCGCCGCAGGTCGGAGAGCTAGAAGGGGGCGGGGGACGGAACTGCACTGCGACAAAACCGAAGTCGCGATCCAGAATTCGTTTCTAATCCCTCACAACCCCGCGCCATGGAACAAACCGTCGGAAACTCACGGTTTAAGAGAGTACGACTTCTGTGGCTCCCCAGATGCCTGGGTCACCGCCTCCAAGGCCTCCCCGCCTACCGAGTCGACAAACTGCGCCTGCGCCACAGTTCCCGCCGGGCCGCTTCTAGCTGCTCATGCGCACTGTGAAGCCCCGGCGGCGCGGACTCCGCCAGTGGGCGCTTGCGCAATAGCGTTGAGCTTCTTTAGGCCTGGGCGCGATACAGTATTACTCTTAGGAGGGCGGTCGTAGAAGTAAAGCCTTAGGATAAGCCCTTCTTTAAAAATAGAGTCTAGCATAAGGTTAAAGGCCCAACGCTATTTTAAAGGAAAGAAGATAATTAACAGAAAGAAAGGTCTCAGGTCTTGGAGTTCTGACGCATCCCTGCATACTGTGGCCACAGAAGACATTGGGCGCTCTATGGATGGAAGACAGGCAATTTCTTGATTGTATGCTTTTTCTTCGTTTTTGTTGAGTACTTTACTTATCCATTAAAAACCAAAATGTAATTTCTGATTGTATGTGGCTGTTTTAGAAATGAGCACAGTGGAAGGAAGGCACACTTTGTATACTATTTATTGAGCCCTTGGCCACAAGGTAGGCAGATTTCTAGGAACTGGACTTAAAAACAGCGGGACAAACACCGTTCCTTTATTAAGCTTATTTTGAGGTGGTGACAATAAATGTATGAATAAATGAAAAATATACTTTCAGATTTGGATTAGTACTCTGAAGGAAATAAAATGAAAGGATGTGTGATAGTGACCAGGAAGGTGGCTTTTTTTTTTTTGAGACACTGTCTCACTGTGTCTCCCTCTACTGTAGAGTGTTGTAGCGTCACAGCTCACAGCAATCTCAAACTGTTGGGCTTAAGCAGTTCTGTTGCCTCAGCCTCCCAAGTAGCTGGGACTGTAGGTGCTGCCACAATAGCCAGCTAAGGAAGGTGGCATCTTGATGAGACAGACGATCAGGGAAACCCCCTCAGAGAAGAGACTTGGATGAAAAGGAGCTGACACGCAGAGAGACTATATAGTCCTGGCACAGAACAGAACAAGAGCAGAGACAGGGAGATCTTGGGATGGGAGGGTATTGTGGGAGGCAGTGCTGGTGAAGTATAGTGAGTGAGAGGGAGTATGTCTGAGATAAGGGTGGGAAGTTAGGCCAAAGCCAGTGTACAGCTTTGAAAGCAAGGCCCTTTTTTCTTCTTTTCTTTTTTTTTTTTTTATTAAATCATCGCTGTGTACATTAATGCAGTCATGGGGTACGATGTGCTGGTTTTATATACAATTTGAAATATTTTCATCAAACTAGTTAACATAGCCTTCATGGCATTTTCTTAGTTATTGTGTTAAGACATTTATATTCTGCATTTATTAAGTTTCACATGTACCCTTGTAAGATGCACGGTAGGTGTGGTCCCACCAATTACCCTCCCTCCACCCATCCTCCTTCCTCCCCTCCCCTCCCTTTCCCCTTTCCCCACAAGTTTGGCTTTTATTCTAAGTACAATGGGAATCTATTTGGAAGTTTTCAAGCAAGAAAGTAAAATGTTCTGGTTTATTTCTGTTATGAAAAGAAGGGATTATAGAGAGGCAAGGGATTGCCTGGCTGTGGAAGATGACAAAAATGGCAACATCAATGTTCAATCTCAGGTTTTAGGATGAGAACACATGGGAATGAATGCTGGTGCCACATAGAAGAGAAGGCTGTAAGGTATTGACTTTTGGTTGAGTGAGGTGAGGGGGAGAATAAATCCAGTATGGATACTGAGAAAAGAAAAGCAGACATCTAGGTGACGGTCTGGTATTACCAGGTCCTCTTGGTGTTGCTGCAAGCTGGCCTGGCAATCACCACTAGGCCTTGGAGTTCTTCTTTTAGAGAACAATTTTAGAGAACATCAACATCAGACAAGGACGTTCTGTGACCAGGACTGATCAAGACAAAAAGAAGATCACTCTGTAATTGTGTCTGAACACAGAAAAAAATCTAAGCATTGTCTAAGCCACAAAAATAACCAGCATTCTCCTATTCTGATAATTATGAGTGCTTGCTGCTTATTTACGAATTATAACTTTAGCCTTAGTCTACTCTTCCTTCTAGATAGTTTTTATTAAAATGCTCAATTACAGAATTATCTCTGCTTCTTTACAGCTTCTAATCCAGACCAAAGTCCCTCTTCCTTGAACCCATCTATAAATCATCTAACATGAGCTCAAAATTCTACAACAGATCTTTTCTAATACCTTCTTACTAAGATGTTCTATGGTTCTTCATGGTGTGTATTCTCATTTACTAAAACAAGTAATAAACCCAACTTGTTCAGCTGTAGTTGTGCTTCTGAGAGTCTTTGTCTAGAGGACATTGACAGTAATCAAGTCCAAGATGCCTGTTAGATACACAGCTGATAATGCCAGGTAAACAGATGAGAATATTGATCTAGCATGTAGTTTAGGCTAACGATATAAATTTGATGGTTTTTAATTTACAGAATTTGTAGATGAAACTTAGTCTGGAACTACATGTTATTATCTTTTTTTTTGAGATGGGGTCTTGCTATATTACCCAGTTTGGTCTCAAATTCCTAGGTGTTAGCAATCCTTCTGCCTCAGCCTCCCAATAAAATTACCTAAACAAAGACAATAGAAAGAGAACTGGGCTACAATAATTTCCAGTATTTCAAAGTTGAGATAAGAAGGTAATGTCATAGAAATCAAGAGAAGAAAGTTTTACTGTTAGAGGGGAGGATCAACTAAACACTGCATAGAACTCAAGTATTGAGAACACAGAATTGACCAGAGACAATCATTAGAGCTTCTGGCAAGAGCAGTTTTAGAAAAGTAAAGAGGCAGAAAGACTGTATTGAAGAACTTCTTGAAGAGCTAAAGATCTAGAAGTTGAGACAACTCTTGAGGGACTTTTTGTTTTCTAACTTTTTTTTTTCATTTCGGGTTAATGTGAGGGTACAAACCACCCGATCACAACCTATAGCTTCTCTTAGTAAACAAGTTGACACCATGGCCACGGGATGGCCACACTGTCTGCAAGTTGTAGCAGCTGTAGCTCTCTTAACCCTGGAGACAATTAAGCTAACTTTGGGAAGAGACCTAATTATTGATACTTCTCATGACCTTACTGGACTTTTAAATTCAAAAGGCAATCTTTGGCTGTCAGGAGATGTGCTAATCAGATTCGTGTCTTCCAGAGATAGAGTCATCAGGCCACAAACGTAAAAAGGGTTCTAGCCCAAGACTTGATTCTGTTGTGGACCCCTGGATCTCCCTCCCTCTAGAGAAAGCCTAACTGGCCCCTTCTATTGATACAGGGTTCCTCCATTCAAGGCTGGACAAGGGACCCCAGTTTCTGAGGCCTGGGCAATTTCATGAAGAAAATACCGTGACATTTTGCCCCAGGCTAGAGAGATCAACCAGATTTCCATTTACCAGGAACCCTGGATCGCCCTGCTCTGTGGAACCTCTAACTGCCCTCTTTCATCATCATCCATCTTCAACAGGAAGCAGTTTGGAGTGGTCAGTGTCCCTTTTTCCCTAATGGCAGTTAGAGCTTCTATTCGGAGAAGGAGGATTGATACAGGATTCCCCTGCTCCGGGCTGAACAGAGACCCCTCATTCTCTAGACCCAGGTGAGCTCAGAAATCAGACCCCAATCTCTAGGCAAACAGGCTGCTCTTTCCAGGCCACACACTCTGGACTCTAGCAAGGTCTTGAATAAAGCAGCCTGAAACATTTTTGGGTGGTTCCACCTTGAGCAGGGAACACACACCCTAATCCCTTTCCTGAGACAAAAATCTCAAAGACCTAATAACCTTGCCCTAGCAGAGAGACTGCACTCATTTATTTGTTAATACACTCATTGACTTTGTTTTTGTTTTTGTTTTGAGACAGAGTTTCACTTTCTTCCCCCCCTCCCAAGATGCCTTGAAGTCATAGCTCACAACAATTCAAACTCTTGGGTTTAAGCAATTCTCTTGCCTCAGCCTCCCAAGTAGCTGGGAGTACAGGTGCCTGCCACAACACCTGGCTATTTTTACAGATGGGGTCTTGCTCTAGCTCAGGGCTGGCCTGGAACTGGTGAGCTCAGGCAATTGGCCTGCCTCGGCCTCCCAGAGTGCTGTAATTATAGGTGTGAGCCACCACACTAGGCCCCCACACTTATTAACTTTGAAAAGATGTTTTTCCACCTCCCAAGTCCTGGCCAATGTAATGGGCCAGTATATATTATAGTATATAATATATATATAGGGGTATATATTATAATATATTACAGGGGTAATATATTACAGGGGTAATATATTACAGTGTCTAGGGGCATATATGACAGTATATATATATGTATACTGTATATATATGTATATATGTATAGTACATATATATTGTCGTATATATGTATACTATATGTATATGTATATATAGAGTATATATATGTATAATATATGTATATATATATAGTCATATATACCCCTAGATAAAGGACCCATGTGGGAGACTTCTGACTTGGGTCTTCCCCTTTGCCAGGAGCTCTGGTGCTTTTTACTCCTTCTATATTTCTTTCTGTCTAATAAAATCCTGTCTTACCCCTGGAGTGGGGGGAAATAACAAAAAAAACAGGCATGGTGGTACACACCTGTAATCTCAGCTACTGGGAAGGCTGAAGCATGATAATCACTTGAGTCCAGAAGTTGGAGGCCACCCTAGACAACATATGTATTAGAACTAATAAAAGCATTAAGGAAAGTTGTTGGCTTAAAAAAATGAATTCTTTAAAAATCAAAGAACAATGAGTTAGTTCTGAAACTTCACAATGGAACAGCAAGGAATTTTGAAATACACAAAAGTCCCCAAATGTACCAAAGTTCGATCTCTCAATTAGTAATGTAGGAAAGAAAAATAAAAAGTGTTACACATACCAAGTAATAGTTAAAGCTTCTGGTAGTGCTGATAGAAGACACCAAATATTTTAATGTATTTGTGCATTCAATAAATGTCTTCTCAGGTTCACTGTGCTCAGCCATATATTAAGTCCCTCCAATATGCAGATGACTAAAAAGG